CTTGGGAGGATGAGGAAATGACTCATCATTTAAAACATCTGTAAATCAAGTATGAGAACTGGAGTGAAGTTGGGATCCCCAGAACCCACACAAGTGCTGGATGGGTGTGGAGGCCTGCTTGTAATTCTGGCCCCAGAAGGTGGAGGTGGGAACCTAGAGCAAGCTGGCTAGCAAGACTAGCCATGTGAGTGAGCTCTGTATTTTGAGAGAATGTGTCTAAATAAATAGGAAAAGCAATCAAAGATGATTTGGATTCCGATGTCTACCTAGGACTCAACATCCATATGCATATACATACCCACAAACACCTGGGCCTACACACATGCAAAACATGTATACTAACAAGCACACCATGAACACATATGGGAAAGTGGGGGAAAAAATTAATCCCTTGGGATCAGACACATGTCACTCTTACCTCAGTGCCATAGCAGTCTTTATAGCTACCTCCTGTATTTCACCGGTGGCATTAATCAAGTTAGTGAGGTCATTCCCACTGCAGTAGTAGTCACCAGTTCCTGCGAACAGTCAATCAACAGAGCCATGGTTCCTCCATGTATCTACTCATTCCAGGGCTGCTGTGTATCTGCCGTGTGCAGGGCTCAGCCAGGCACTAGTAAGAACACTGGGGAGCCTCATTTACACACTAGGGACTAGCAAGACATGGATGTTAAAGAACATAACTAAATGCAGATGGTGTGACTACAACGTGACAGATGGACATGTGGTCTGACTACAGAACAGGGTTGGTCTATTGGGGTGTTTAGGGTGGAGCTCACTCAGGAAGGGACAGCTGGACTGAGAGCTGAAGAGCAGGCAAGACTAGCAGAGATGCAACAGGACAAATGAGGTTCTGTGTCTGAGGTCTCCAGGGTCTGTACAACTGTTAGACTGTAAGAAGAAACCCCAGGGCTGAAGCAGAGAAAGGACAGGGTGCAGGGGAAGCTGGTATAGTCAAGATGAGAAGCCAGACTGTGTGGGACTGTCTAGATTACAATAAGAACCATTGTCTCTATGTGAAGAGCCACTGAAGGTATGTGTTTATTAAAGTATAGTTTGCCTACAATGAAACAGTTACTTCTTTTTTTTTATTTTATAAAGTTCTTTTTTTTTAAATTTTATTCTTTTTTTTTTTATTATTATGTATAGTGTTCTGCCTGCACATATGTCTGTAGGCCAGAAGAGGGCACCAGATCTCATTACAGATGGTTGTGAGCCACCATGTGATTGCTGGGAATTGAACTCAGGACCTCTGGAAGAACAGCCAGTGCTCTTAACCGCTGAGCCATCTCACCAGCCCGAAACAGTTACTTCTTAATGAGTTTTGTTTTGAGACAGGATTTGAAGTAGCCCAGGTTGGCCTCAAAAATCCCCATGTAGCTGAGGATGACCCTGAGCTGCTGATTTCCTGCCCCTACCCATTGATTGTCAGTATTGAAGTCCTGTGTCACAATGTCCATGCTGGGGATCAAACTCAGGGCTTCCTGAATGATAGGCAAGCACTCTATCTCAGGCTACTTCCCTAGTACCCTTAAATAGTTTTGATAACTGTAAATACAGGAGTGATCCCAGGTCAAAAGAAGACACAGTGTTTCCCCCTTATGTTCAGGGAATACATTCCAAGATGGTCCAAAAATCCCTGAAACATGGGGATGGTACCAGGCTCTACAATATGTATTGTGTTTTCTCCTTTCCACTTGATCCTCCATACCCTCAGGTTTTACATCTGTGGATTCAACCAACAGAAAATATTTGAGGAAAAAAAATCATCTGTACTGAATATTCACAGGTTTTTTTTCTCTCTTGTAACTGTTCATTCCTAAACAACGTAATGAATACTGACATAGCATCACTCTGTGTTAGGCATAATAAGACATCCAGAGGGGATTCAAGTTCCTTGAGATGTGTGGGCCTTCTATGCAAGTAGCATATGATTTTACATAGGGAACATGAGTGTGAAAAGCTCTATGTTGATGGGAGTCATGGAACTAATTCCCAGAGGATGCTGAGGGTGACTGTATGTACATACCTGTGACTAAGTTCAATATATAGATCAGGTAAGGTATTTACAGTAACAAACTTTAATAACAACATTGTACTATATAAGAGTTATTTAAAATATACTGTTATTTTTCTAGAAACTTTTACTTATTTCTAGACCAAAAGTGATGACATGTAACTGAAAGTTTGAGGGGCAAAACCACAGGAAGGAGCATTCAGTTAAGAGGGGCTACGGTACTGACACCTCAGAATGTTCCAGATGCTCTTTCTAGCTTGCCATCCCAGCTGACCTAACAAAGTTACTTTCAGACTCCATCAACAGAGTAGGACTTCTGTCCAATACTGTAGAACTCTCGAGTTGGACCAAACATCATGTACTCTTATTTTATTGATTTTGCCGAATCTTGTTTTAAAGACTCCTCAATGTGTTTGTGTGTATCAGACTTTTTTTTTCTTTTCATTGTTGAGCAGAATCTGTGGATAGACAAAAGCTTTCTATTCATCCATTTTTGGTCTGCCGAGTTGTTTTCTGCCCTGACTCTTGTGACAGACACATAAACTTTACTGTACCAGTTAGGTTGGGACATACGATTGATCATGAGTAATTAATTATCAAAGAAATATTGTCTTATGTCCATGATATTATGGTATATTTATAAATTAGTCCACTTCTACTGGAAAAGACCTTCAAGCATTATCACTCAATTCCCTATATACTAAGAGATTCTCTAAACAGAAATTGTGTCTGCGAAAGTCTTACCTGTGAAAACAGTGATGGCTGAGTTATCAGTGCTGGCATTTTTAAGTGCAAGCATGATCTCTTGGTACATCTATGTGAATGAAAAGGCAGATTAAAAAAATGAAAATGAGATCCACCATCCAGGGGACTGGGCCACTCTATCAGTTTGAAAGACTTCTCTCAACACAGTGCTAAGCATTCTATAAAGATTATATTTTGATACCAAAAAAGAGGCAGCCTGAGAGGATTTCTGCTCCTCTGACAACGGCTGGATGCACATGATGTACAGGTGCTGTGGCAGATGCACCAAATAGCCACTGTGTCCAAAAGTGAACAAGAGAGACACAGACCTGGAGCCACGCAGCTGGACAGCTACTGTGTCCAGCAGGGATGGGTCGGGGAAGGGAAGAGGTAGCACACAGCTTGCAGGAACTGTTGAGGTGGCTGCAGCAGGTGAGAGGGGAGGTGGATGAGAGAACTGTCCCTGAAACAGCATCTCAGCTGGGGCTTCAAGGAAGGAGAAGTGTCCTGCGCAGTCTGGGAAGCGTTAACTAACGCAGAGGCTGGATTTCTGAGACTCTGTGCTGGGATCCAAGGGCACTGGCCCTGAACATTTCTGAAAATCTTGCTGTAGTTTTAGTGTGTTTTCAAAATTGGTATAGATTTTACTTTAATAAGATTCAGTGTGGGTTAGAGTTATGAGGAGGGTGGGTATTTCTAAAGACACTGGAAAAATAGAAGCATGTACTTAATATGTGAATAATGATGTGACTGTTCCCCTCAAGGCAGGGGACAGGAAATAATTCCTGAGAATTACAGCAAGGCAGACATGGCAGCCAGGTGACTAGCTAGAGCCAGGGCCAGGAGAGAGATGGGTCAATTTAGATTCTCCTGCTTATCAGCTGTAAGAACTTACCAAGTAACTTCTCAACTTTCTCTACTCTTTTGTTAAATAATGGTGATAAGGTCTTTGCAAACAAATATAAATCTCTGTGCAGGAAGTCCCCCTAAAGGGAGATTACCCCCCCCCCAAAGTGTCTTCATGTTGCGGCCTTCTGTGCTTTTCTATGCTTGTGAACCCTAATTTTGTACAAGAAGTGGGGGAAGAAGAGAAAATTTTATACAAAAAGAGGGAGTAGAGAGGGGAGGGGGGGGGAGGGGAGAAATGAGGAGGGGCAGGGAGGAGATGGAAGGGGTTGTCTTCAGCAGAGCAATAATAGCCGTATTTTAATGAACTGCTTCTCAGGACAATTTGAAATTTCTCCTAGAACTACATTGATAATAAGTTAATCACTTGAGCCCCTCCCCCTGACTATAGGGAGTTTATCAGATGCTTGGAAGTGAACTGGGGGTCAAGGCTGCCATCTGCAGTGT